TGGCTAATGACGGATGATATTACCTGTTGTTTTGTATGGGTGTGAAATTTGCTGTCTCAAAGGAATGACTCGGACCGAGAGTACTTTTGAAAGGGGTGCCTAGGACAGGAGCTTCGTTGTTTGTACTCTTAAACCAAAAAATACATTGATTAAATAAAGGAGAATGAGATGGGCGGGAAATTTAGCACGCACACATGGAGTGGGTTAATTGCTTAGACAGTTTTGGTTACAACGCCTAAATGGAATAGAGCCCTCTAAGTAGGCGTATATCGGAGGATAATACTAAAACGGATCTGAAGCAAATAGGGTCGGGGTGAGGACTAGATTCATATGGTTTAAAATAGACTGCTGGTGGAATCTTGTGAACACGGCGACCTTCGGGTTCTGCTGACTTATCTGCATTATGTTAATTCAAGTAAAACGAGTAGACCGTTTATTAAATTTGAGTTTAACTTCCTTGAAGTTTTTTAAACCTGTAACGTTTTTGCAGAGCCTGGAATGGAAGTAGGGGATGAGGCTAAAAAAATGGTAGCTTGTGACATGTTTAGCCACTTTGCCGCCAAAAGAATTTTCACGGTTAATCTGTGACAGCCTTCCAACGTCTCTCTCCGTACGCCACACATTTGAAAGAACCACTCTACTACTGGGGGGAGGGGGGGGGGGTTGTGGAGGCAAAGAAATATTCAGAGGTTAAAGCAGAAACCGAAATAAATAATATTTTAAAAACCTGTCTCAAAGTACTTCGCGTTTCCATTACAGAAATCAATTGGTTATAATGCTCTCTAAAGAAATAACAAACCCCTTAAAGACTCTGGGCGAAATGCAAAGTTGACGATTGCTGAAGCACATATAATTGTCAATGGGCTTTAAACTGTTAAGGAAGAAAGAACGGAGAGGACGAAGAGATCCAAGCAGTAATAAAATTAAAATCTCTGGGATTTGGTAGAAGAGCAACGGGTGGGTGTGGTATATATAGTCGTCCCATAGCTCAGTTAGTCGCCGGCCTACCACCGCAAACACGGGAAATGTGATGGGCAGTGAGGCTTTGGGACCTGGTTGGTCTTTTTCGAATGTTTTGGTCATCACCAATCATTCCTCATGCACCGACTCTTCTTCAACATGAAGACCTTTACAGAAAGCCGCAGCACTAAAATCCTCAACCTGCTACCAATATTATTATAGGCGGGGTGGAGGATGCCATCAAGTATAATTTTTATATACTCGTATATAAATATAGTCGAGAGACAAAGTGAGTGGCTTAAGTGTCAGTAACTGTATTTCAGGTGTTGGATTGAATAATTTATTGTTTTAAAAATCTTGTTGCAAAGGAGTTGGTGGGGAAGGGGGTACCTTTTTTATTCTTCTTGTCTTCTTGAAGTAGGTCTAATAGAACAGAACTAAGAGGAAAAGTATAAGATAAAGCTGGGATGTGGTTGGGAACCTTTTCCTATATTTCCCAGTCCCTCCGTTGACTTGTGGGTCCCAGGAGACATTCGCGAACCAACACCCACCCCCGCCCTCTCTGCATCGCCATCCCTCTGAATCTCTCACCATAATCTAGGACCTGCCACTGAACAAAAAGGCCTATGGGAGAATGAGGGAGGCCGTGTGTGCGAGTAGGCAATAAATTTATAGGAAAACAGTCAGTCTTATTTCGCGTAGTTGGTAGCACTGGACTTTAAGAAGGCAGCAAAGGATGGGAGAGGAGCAGGTCCTAAGCTACGGAGTCCGTTCTTCAATTTTCATGCCATTGCTTGGGAAATTGGAGTATGTGGGTTGCAGTGCTCAGGTAGCTGAAACAGCTTGTCGGGCAAGATACGTAGTTCTTGGCAACTGCATCATTTTCTTTATTATTCTATCCACAAACACGAAGTTAGTAATACTTGCACACCGCGTCTATCCCGTCTGTCTGCCTCGTCCTCAGCTACTTACATATTTTGTAACAAAGTTCTGCGGAAAACTTATGACCTCTAACTTTCTCTTAAATGCTTCAATCCTTTACGGTGAGGTTAGCAGGAAGAAGCCTATAAATTAATGCTTATATACTTTATTAAAACACTTCTCTGTACAGTTTCCGATTACATTACACTGCGTTCACAGTGAAACCTCGTAAGAATTCAATTATTACCGTGCTAGTAATTGGTGACATTTAAAATTATTCTTTACTAGTAGAGCCACACCGAAACGGTGGTCTAGCGGTTAGAACGCTGGCCTTGTAATCCTGGGGTCTCGGGTTCGATTCCCGGCGGTGCCCGAATTTATAACTTGTGTTGGGCAAGGCCGTGGTCTAGGCAACACGGAATTTTCCTCCG